TAATTGGCGACGTAGAGTAGCCGGTGGTATTTCAACTGTCGCTACCGATTCCTCTAGACCTGCCCTTCTTAAGGATCGTTTTATAGCTGCGCTTACTTCATCGCTTATAAAAGGCAACATAAACGGGACTTTCTTTCGGTCAAGTGTTTCGCGTGGGCGCGTTGCTCTCCTTCTAAACTTATCTCGTGGGGTTACTATTTCGTAGCCATTGGAGGTGGCTATTTGCCGAGCCAAGTCGCGCGATTCTTCCTTTAGTTCCCTGGTAGTGCACGCAGAGGTGGCTGTTCGAAACATGTTTCTCACAATCGCCCTCTTTGTGTGTGAAGGATGGGAAGAAAGGAAATGAACAAGAATGTTCTTGTTACTTGGCTTTCGATACCTTTTTGTCAGGTAACCGCTACTTGATAGGTTTATTTGGACGTCAAAAAAAGGAAGCCAGTTTTTTCTCGGTTTTTCACGGGTGAACTTTATGTACTCGGACTACTCGTTCAATAATTCAAAGCATTTGTCCATCTCCTCCTGCGTAGAGAAGACGACAAAGCAATCATCTACATATCTGCAGTAGAGTAGTGGCCGGAGATCGAGAACAGGGGCTTCTATCTTAGACATAAACACAATGGCAAGGCTTGGTGCCAATCGCTGTCCCATTGCCAACCCCCTTATTTGCGCGAAATATTTCCCAGACCATCTGAAAATCAAACAGTTTAGGCACTACTTTAAGAGAGCCATTAGCTGTTGGATGGACAAGCCATGCATATTTATTCTTCTTTCATGTTCAACAAGAAGTTCGTGGATGTCTTCTATTGCGGAGTCATTCGATACGTTGGTGTAGAGCGCAGAAACATCGAAGGACTCTATCACGTACGCGTTATTAGGGGACGCGCTACGTGGACGTTCTAGGAACATTTGGGTGTTTGTGAGGTGAGATGGAATGTGGTTAAGCAACTGGGTAAGTATCAGGCTTAAAAACCAGGTTATTCTATCCGTTGGCTCGTCTACACTGCTGATGATTGGTCTAACCTTAAATGGTGACGGATTGGTTGACTCATGATCATCAGGTGATACCAACTTATGTGTTTTAATAAGTAGCTATAGGACGGGACATGTTGGTCTATCGATTTCGAAGTGCGAAATAACCGATGATTTTAAACCCGCAGCCTTTGCCACACTGACCCATTGATTGTTTAGTTTTTGATATTGACTTTTATATACCTTTGCAGAGGATGGGCGATAGAGAGTAGCATCACTAAGATGTTCCTCTGTTATCTCAACATCCAGCTGGCGAGGGATAACTACGAACTCTCCCCCCTTATCACTAACAGACAATCTTATTGTTTTCGAGTTTATTAATTCTCTAATTTCCCGCATGCCTCATTTTTGTGCGCCTGTAAGGTTAGAGATAAACTTTCTATCGCGGTAGTGATCAAGGGTCTTGAGAACGCCGCCCGAAAACGCGCGGAATTTTATGTCAACTCCATCGTTAGGGCCCTGCTGTTTAAAAAACGTTTTTGGGAAAGGAGATGGTGGTAGTGTCGCCGCCTCTTGATTTTTATCTCTGTTCGATGTTTCTTGCTTGGCCTGATAGCGGAGTCGATCTTGAGGCTCATAGAGGTTGCATGCTATCCTACACAGGGTCGTTTTAGAAATGGGCTGTGATGGTGCAAAACTTGGACCCAATTCTAATAGCGAGCGCGCATTCTCAGGTATTGTTATGCCCCCAATCACGGTGACCCTAGATTGCATTGACCCAGTGCATTATCAACCCCATTTTGACTATTATCAGAAGCGTGAGGAATTCGTTTGCGGTTGTTTCTTGAAGCTGAGACATGTGAATTACCCATAAGTTTTTCGGATTTCCGTTGTAAGGTTATTTTGGCATTAGATCTAATAAAATCGCATATCAATATTGACCCACCAACTATCCTCCTCCAAAGGCGATCCTCCAAATACAAAGCACAAAAATGTTTCTTCGTTGCACACTTTTTCATTCTGGCAAACATCTCGTTCTGCTTGCTTCGTAGTGCAGCTCGAAGTAGTTCCATTTCGATGCCTCGTACTTGTTGGCTGCCCTTTGGTTGACCGCATATCTCGTGAAGTCGCTTTCGTTTTATAAACTTCTGCACGACTCGATGTTGAAAACAGCGGCGGAGGAAGTTGATTTGCTGTCTAGCTAAGACAATCTTCTTTCTTAGTGACAATGCTTCCTTCACAAGTCGAAAGTATTTTGCTGGTACATCTTGTAATAGTTCCCAGGATCGACTTCCTATTAACCTCAGCACTGGGATATGAATGTGTCGTTTTCTTGTTCAGCAATCGCGAGGTTTTTAAACAGCATACATTTACTTCCATAGAAAAACACAATACAATACAATACTAACTGACGTTTCGGCAGTATCGTCTTCTTCAGAACCCTATCTCCGGTTTATTCTGCACTAGAAGGACTACCTTTTGTGGGATTCTCAGAAGAAGTGGTTCTGTTGAGGTAGAGCTTTTATCCCGAAGTCTTCTATTTTACAGAGTTGGATGCTCAACATGAGGTGGAGCGTTGTGGTACAACAGAATTGCTACCTCCACATTGATGACTGCAGGTCACGAACGTTGCCATTGGTACGGTATTTTGTTAATTTCCTGAGAATATTTTACTTGTTGCAGTTTTCTTCTCGACTCGGAGAATTTTTAGCTGATGCATTTGCTCACCTCATAAAATTCACAGCAACTATTTTTACTTCTAGCGATGTGTCTGCGCAATTCAAATGTTGCGAAGAAGAAACAAGTTCCTAGTCTTGGAATGTTTAGTAACATTGGGATAACCACGTACATAGAATATTTGATGACTTCCCTTATATACCAGTCGGATTTAGTACAGAAACTTCACCCAGCTGAGCATTCATCATCTTGCATGAACCTATCAGTGTTGGACAAAAAAAAACGCGCCAGGCTTACTACAAAGTTAGTCATCAAGTTTCTGAATATTACAGTCAAAAGAATCATGTAGGACACTGAGCAAAACTTGAAAAGAATAGAAGAATAGGATTATTTGCTTCGAGCCGGCATGAATGGGGCTGTTTGTGCACAATGTCAATGTGGAACGTTGGAATTCTTTGGGAAGCTTACATCAAGAACACTACTATTGTGTGTAACTGACTGATAACAACGTTGCTTCTTACACCCTACTCACTCCAGGAGAGACAACATAATGGAACGCTTCGGACTTGCTTGCACTACTTCAGTTGACAAATATTGATGACTCGGATACTTGGATGATTTACCTTCACCTATCGTGCAGGTTTCACGAGTTCTGCAATTCGTTTCCTTGCTCTGCAATCGTGGCTCGTGCAAATCATCGTGCTCCAACTGTATAGAAATGTCATTTAATGATTTGTCATTTTTTCACATTTGTCAAGATTCTGACAGAAGTCCTCGTGGGTAAGTGGGATATCTCCCGATCTATTCTGAGGTTCAGAATCTCCCAACGCTGCAGCGATTCCCATAACGACACAGTTGTTGCAGTAGTCATCCGAATTCTGAAGATCTTTATAATAAGTGAAGCCGGAATATTCATGACTAATAGCATAATTTGAAAAAGAGGAAACTGGAGGCATGGCCAGCTTAGATGACGAGCTAGAAAGTAATGAATAAATTACGTCGAGTTTCACAACGACGATTCCTTACATTTACCGTTTTCCTTACATTTGTTTTTTTAAACTTTTAATGGAAAAGGATTGCCTTCAAAGAAACAGGAATTTCAGTGACGGGACGAAAAGCGTGCTTGCTACCAACCATTTGACCACTGACCGGATGACAATCACAATAACTGGATTTATGTGACAATCGTAAATTGGAAGCACAAGTCCAGAAATTTTGTAGCGTGACAGAAGAATAGCGGGGTAGAGAAGGAATGTTGTTTATTAAATGATTTGATTGTTCTTCTCATGAAGAAAAGCTAAAGCGGTCGGGGTAAAACAATCCCTTAGGAGTGAACCATGCATACTCCTCCAATCGTTTTAACGTTATCAAGTAGGAATATAGAGATGTCAGGCACTAATTTGTGTACCTCAGAGGAATGGAGGATTTTGTGGAACCAGGACGTGGATTGCACCTAATCATTGAGCTACACACGCTATAGATGCCGTTAAACGTCGATTACAGGAGATAAGAATCTGAAAATAGAGCAATACTAGTGGCAATGAAAATCTTGTTCTAAAATAATAGGATCAATGATGGGACAACTAATGGTCATTTAGCCGGTACTGATAACTTTTTGTGGTGACAATACCCAGCATTAAGTCATAACGTGAAGAATCAGGCATTTACAATAAACTCTGACAGACAACAGTCTTGCTGCTGCAAGCGAACCCAGACGCAAGTTGTTCGAAGATCTTCATAGATGACGGATTCCAGGAAACGAATCGAATGGAAAATTTGCTGAGATTCGCACAGTAGATGTGAAGACGGGTCGTTTCAACAATGGAAAAAAGATAATGTTATGGATAATTGCTTCAATGGTTATCTTCTATACACATCTGCAAATTATCAAGTAGTTTGTCAGAGGTGCTCTTTAGCTAATCCCTGGAAGTCAGTAATGGTCTTTAAATTCCTACGATTTTCACCTGCAGTGCCATCGCCTTCAAAGCCAATCCAGTCGAATAAAATGATCTGCTTCTTTTCAAAATTGTAAGTAATATTTTCAGCAGTTCCTGCTTTTCACGAATAGCCATGATTTTCATAAGACTAAAATTTTCCGGTTCTGAATATCGCCAATTCAATGTGAACAAATCTTTTCATTGTCGAATGACTGATGAAAAACTGGTCTTAACTTTATTCAGTGACATCAGTGCATAGTATCTATGTACAGTCCCAGGGTTCTTCTTTCTAATATTCTTTCATTCTTTTTGAAAAATTGTCATGTTCTACTAGAAAGCTTTTGCATGACTTATTTAACAAGCAATAACAGCGGCAAATATGAAATCGTACTAGTGCAGATCTTTTAGGTGTACAGTTTATGCATTTGCTGAAGCAATGATATCCCTGATCTCTGAAATACTGTAGATCTTGTCGATATCCTGAAATTTAATGAGAATTTGTAGTATTTGCTTTTAAGAAGGAAAAAAAGACGTGTGCAGTTAATCTGGACTTCGTCGCTTACAGTGAGATCGCTGATCCATATTTTCGAGGCTGGCACCCGTTTTCGCTTCTTCGGTGGAAGTCCATTGATGAGATCTTTTGCAGCTCTCGAAAACATCTGATCCATCTACAACGAAGTATACCAGCTGTTAGGAGATTAAAAAAATAGAGCTGTATTTAATAGACCAAAAAACTAGAGTGTATTGCATTACTGGATAGGATATGGATGAGACATCTTGTGAGCAATATTAGATGAGTCAAAAAACCGCCGATTTTGAGTGGCAACTTAATTTGATACTTGATACTTGAACGGCCCGTCCTCATTACTTGTGCCGGCCTCAGCATAATCACCATTTTTCGGAGATTTGCTGGTTAAGCCATTGTGGTTCCCGGGACAGTCTAGCCAAAATCAGCCCCATATCGTCACCACCACGAGCAGTCGCAGCCCTGTGGATTAGAGGGAGATTTTCCACCATGCGACTTTGATACCAAGATGGTAACTGACCCTGGTATTGGTATACTCTTAGCCAGGCTTCCTGATAGAAACGCCGGACACCTCCCGCTGTACATCGCAGTCCGACACCCAGGAACGCCTCCTAGCTACGATAAGGCGGTAAACCGGTGGGAGGTGGCATCTTTAGAATGTTGTAAAACGGTTCAAGCACATTTCACACATAGTATTCATTAGATGCATTGCGTGATATATATGTTTGTGGAAGAAAGTGGATGAAATGCACCGTATCTTATGCAGGTGTTCTTCGGCGCTATGTATGGCTTGAAGGGCTTTTTCACCACATTTTCTATACTCTATCGATAGCTTGTCCGACACAGTTGCTATCTTATACATGGCTCATGAAACTTGCTCTTTTCATCTAATAATCTACAAAAAAGCTTTTTTTGAACGAGCTCATCGACCGGTAGTCTGGCTTGGTGGTGAAGACCTGGGGCAAACTTTGGCCAGACTGTCCTTGGGATTCCAGGGAACCACAGCGGCTTAACTAGAAAATCTCCAAAAATGGAGATTATGCTGGGGCTCACATAACCAATGAGGATGGGCCATTCAAGTAACAAGTAAGTAGTAGAGTTTTGACACCGAAGCATGATGTAGTAGACGCGACGAATTTCTCGAAGGTATTTTCGACATCGGCTTATTTTTGAAAGTTTTATCAGCTTGTTGTTGTCGATATCCTAGAAAAAAGTGCTGAATGATTAAGGTCCAACTGGTATAGTAGGGTATGCTGAGTCTCCTGGCCCAAATCATTCAATTTTCGGAGCTCTAGTTTGTCACGTGTGGTCAAGCTGTTAAGCAAGAGGCCTGAATCTTGTCTGTTAATGAATTCTGAGTGAAAACGTTGCAATTTTTGCAGGAGTTCAGAAATTTCGTGACGGCACTTTTTCGCTATAATTGGAGATCATCCAAATGTCACCAATACCCCGCTCAGTACCAATTCGAAGTTGTCCAGTATTTAGGAGTTATACGTTCTCCGAGCCACTGTGGTTACCTTTTTTGATTGTCTTATCGGACCTGTTTTTCATCGCACATCCCAATAATCGACAAGTCAATCGGATTTACTGTGCTCAGAGGGGACTTCGTAGCAAACTCTACAACGACCGTTTCGCTGCAGTTAGTTTCCTCATATCGCGTTGCACTCATATATCGAATGATTTCAGTTTTCCAATGTATTCGAAATAATGCGATTTTTAGTATGTGGTTGATTAGTGGATGCTGTGTTCTCCCGGAGTGTTTTCAGGAGAGTCACCTTCCGTTGTAACCTTGACATGATCGCCATTAGCTGCTAATGAGCGCCCACCTTCCCCTTCGTCATCAAAACTCATGTGACTCTTTGCGAATCGTCGACGTAGTGGCCTTTCGGGATTCTAACCTCGGTCCGTGCTTTGATGACATCCCGAGTTACCTCCATTCCACTACAGTAGATTCATTTTTCAACTCACAAAACAAGACTGGATATAAACTAAACATGTTAGGTAGCTTACGGTAAGGTGCCAAACAAAGCTTTAAAAGGTGAACGGCTACAGGGTACCAATAAAAACACTGGTAGAAAACTAATAGTAAAATTTGCAACTAAGAAAGCACATGTTTTCTTTGCACTAGTGCAAACGTCCTCAATTGCGTCTATCATCGTTTCTAATTCATTGTTACGCCTGCATAAGCAGATGAAAAGACTTAAAAATCCAATTTTTTAGGACAATGTTCACTCCAAAATGAATTTTTCTGTAAGGATGAGCGAACATGGTGAAAATTCCGTCTTTAAATTGAGGTTTAGAAAAATGAAGAGTGCAAGATAGCCAGTGGTGACCAACCTTCTCGAAGGTGTTCTCTTTATCCCATCCGAGCAACACGTCGATGTCATGTGGATCACGAATGAACTTGCTCCTCTTGTATGTTTGCTTCCGCTTTCTTACCTGGACAACAATGACAGAAAATATTTGCAACTTTTTTAGAGCCTATATACACGATTGATTTGTTCGTTTTGTCAGCTAAAGTACGAATGCGAGTACGAATGTCTCTCAGAAGACTATTTCCTATTTTGGAAAACAATTTAAGATGGCAACGAATCAGGAACAAGCTTGATTCAGCAGCGTCTCCTTTGCTTGCCGTTAACCGCCTCTTGATTGTGGTACTCTACGCAATCGTACCTTTGGCTCAGCTGATTCATTGACGATCTCCTGAGTTTTCCTACGCGTCGCATATCTCTTCGGAGATTTCTCTGTTGCCGTTTTCAGGGTAGGGCTATCCGTTTTACGCACGTTTGTGAAGTTTCCAATTGCCTCAAATAATTTTTCACGTTAGGCAAGTTAAGTAAAGAAGAAATTAAAACAGTACGAATAATGACAAATGAATGGCTTAAAGTGGAGCACGGGCAGCCTTCAATTCGAAAAAGCAAAAAAAAATTTGTGTCAGTGATAAACTATATCCCTCTGGTCCACAAAGTCTGCTACTGCCTGTGGTGATGCAGATCTGCGGCAGACTTTGGCCAGGTTGACCTCGCGATTCCAGGGAACCACAATGGATTAGCCAGCAAATCTCCGAGGAATGGAGACTATGTTGTATCAAGTATCAAGTAAGATAAACTGTGATCACAAAAAGGTAGAAATAAGAATATTTTGAATACATTACGAATCTTTGTTGCTACAGCACCGTCGCCTTTGGGCCCAACTCGAGCTGACGATATTATTGTCTGGAAAGTTTGCAAGATAAGGTGCTATCGCATGCAAGCGCTTCCTCAAAACAAAGGATGGAATCCATGCCTCATTCTCTTTCTCCATTCCTGCTTTTGTAGTAGTGTCCTGCTCTCTCTGGTTTCGAAGCTCGGCGAGACTCCTTCGACACCGCGTGGCGACATTTGTAGCTGCCTCAAAACTTGACATTACGCCTTTTTCTCTTGAAAACGTTCTTAATAGTTAAGCATGACGGAAAGATCAGAGCCTTCACGTTAAAGCTTAATATTGTCTACACATTCCAGAATTAATACGCCCCTAATGTGCGCAATGATTGCCGTTACGGCGACAATCAGTACACACGAAATGTTTGATGGTCGAAGACAAGAAAATCGCTGGCTAATTCCGTGTATAGAGCAAATCTATTTAGATGCCAAAGTGTCACAGTATATGAATTCTGCAAAAACCTCAAAAAGATCGTAATTGTCCTCGTTGACGACATTCTCCGTTTTCGGAAGTTTCGGCCTCTCCATGCTTATTGGCTGAACAGCATTGATAAAAAGCGTAAAATAATGGAAATACTAAGTAGAACAGACGAGTTTGTTTAAAAATTCAAACAAGAATTAGCTTATATTCTATTTGCACAGAAGTTTGCTGAAAAATAGTACTTTTGTCACCGGAGCCGAAAATGAATTTGAAACGTCTTGGTCAATTAATGCTACTGGAGCCACTGCCCGGCTTGACTTTGGTTCCGTACTAGCATCAGTAACACTAGCTGCAGCAGGTTTACTGGATGTTTCTGCTGCTTTACCAGTGATCAGAACAAGACCGTCGTTGGCTGAAAGTTTGACAGCTGCATTTTGATCCGATATTCTCCGTCCCAGAGCCTACCTTTTGTCTGCTGAACTGTTGATGATTTATCTTTCGTAATTTTCCGCACTATACGTTTTGGTTCAGCTGGCTTTTCGGGTTCCTAATAAGGTGTGGTTTTAGAAGACACCAAGTGAAAATGACTAGATTATAAAAACGTGAATTCTGTGAAGACCCACAGTCCTCGGTTGTGGAACGATAACTTTCTTCCTACGATCTTTCTCAGCTTCGATTTTCGCCAACTCTTTTTCTGTTTCCGCCTCTCTTTTCTCTTTCCACCGTGCATTTTCCTCGTCTGCTTTGCTGAAATATTATTTGCTTGTAGAAGTGCTTTTTTTCATTTTTCTCTGTGCAGCTTTCTATTTAACTTATTTCCATAGGTGGCGAGTTATATAATCCAAACGTCGTTCTGCGCTCCTGGGTGAACAAGGCCTATCGGTTCGGTCCCCCTTTTCTTCTCTAACTAACCCCGTGGAGTATTGGAGTGTGTGGAACTGTTTCATTAATCTCCTAAATGGATTGTGAATGTTCCGATGGATCGCTAAGAGGGGACGGAAAAGAGATTCATTTCATTGTTATTTCACGATACTTCATCGTATAAAAAGATTTAAAGATAGGAAATCAAGATTATATCAAAAAGAACAAAAACGAGATGTGAACGATGTGCTTCCAATACACACGTTTTCCTTTAACAAATAATTTGGAATTACTTTCGCTTGGTTTTATGTGCCTTCCACCGGTTTACTGTCTCATCGTGGCTGGGAGGTGTTCCTGGGTGTCGGGCTGCTATGTCCAGCCGTTGGATTCATCTCCTAGCAGGGTCTTCCAAGCTGAGAAGGAGTTCGGCTGTTCTATCAAGCAAAATTCCGAAGAATGAAAATTATGCCAGAGCCAGCACAGCCAGTGAAGACCGGTGAGAAATTAGCGTAAGAAAGGAAAAAAACCTAGAAAGCATATGGTCGAACCTAAAAACTCCGCTAACCGAGTCCATGATTATTTTCTTCTTCTCTTCTTCCGCTCGTTTCTTTATATCTTCCGCGGTTGAGGTAATGCCCTTTGACAAGTCCTTTACACTATTTTGGAAGTGCGATGAACCACTTTTCATCTGCGTTCGGATCTCCTCCATCTGGAAAGCCATTTAACGAGTATAAGAACTCGAAGGGCACAACTAGTGAAGGCGGTACCTGCTTATCAAAGTTATCGTTGATAGCTGGCTTGACGATGTTGTACTCCTTCTTCGGACGCTCTACTTCTTGTTGTTCCAGGTAGCATGAGCGTTTGTACCTGAAGCAGTGTCAAATATGTTATAGAGATTATTCACTGCCTGATAGGGAATATTTTCTTTCTTTCCTTAGCAATATGCATTTCTTAAATTAGTTCTAAAATGTTTCATGCACACTGTTGTTACATAATCTATTACCAAATCACTTCGTTCGCGTACGTGCCGACTTCATGCCCTAGTACTATTCCATGCCTGCACAAAAAAAACGAATGCTCTACACACATCACGACAGGAGTTGTGCAGGCATCCCTGAATTCTCCTCTTTTCGTTATTGCACCTTGTTTGGACTCTATGACCTTCGGGCAAACAATTTCGAAGGTGCCAAAGTGCCTAACCATTGCCAAATCATACATAACACAATTTTATTGATTTGCTAATCCATTCCGCGCAGAACCCGTTACACACCCGCTTAACTGCAGTTCTTATGAGAATTGATCTTTTTATACTGTTGTTATACCAGTATTGTTTATACGTATGTTTAGATAGACAGCCGCGTGGTTCGGAACATGTTATCAACAAAAGCTCCGCGTTACGGACCAGCAGAAAACAACCAACTACCATCAAACTAACAGGCACATGTTGAAGCTATTAAGGGAAAACTGATATTAAAGATAGTAGCAAAACTTTCACCTCCGTCACCTACTTGTAGCCCTATATGAATGACGGGAAAACTACTAGGTAAGGTGCTTAATAGACGAACAATTAGAAAGGACACAATTCATCAGCATTTTCGAATGCAACGAAATGAACCATGTGTCATAATGGTTACAGGTGTCTTAGAATATAAACAAGTGTGGTCATTAGTTCGATTTCGAAATCAGGGGTAACAAAAACTTCCATCTGCTTGAGGTTGGCAAATTGATACAAGACTTGAGGGAAGGATAAAAACACTGACGTGATATATAACTAGGACCCTGTAATCAATTGTAAAGGCCAGATATGTATTGAGTCATCTCTAGCTGTTTGATTAAGTCGAATGCGTGGCACAATATTAAGAGATTTATCAATGCCGAGCACTTAATCCTTTTGTCTTCTATAATACATCTGGACATCAATGTGAACTTCGTATGAAGTTCGGTAAACCTTATCTGCCCATTCGAGCATCGAACGTTCTGATCACAACGCCCTTCACAAAGATATACGACCAGTGCAGAAATCGGTCATTCTAATGGATCTTAGAGTGCTATGATGAAAACTTCTCTTTCTCGTTGTTTTATTAGCGTAATTATCCACCCAGTAGCTTATCTCATCAACCCTTTGAAGGAGGTTATTTATCAATTATGACGACGAATAAGGTGAATTCGATGACTTACCTCGCCTAAAAACCAGCAACTCCAATAATAATAATGATAACAATTTTAATTTATTATTTACTGCGTACTCTTTTTAACGGCAGGGTATAAATTTTGAAATATAACTTCAATAATGCTGTGATATTTGCAAAACTCCGGACCGCAGGTGCATGCGGTTGGGAACGAACGCGCTATTGTCCTTTCCGGGGAGTAGCGCGTTCACCACAACACCATCCGGGTCATTCCTTTCGCCTGTCTCTCAGCTAGTTCTATCGATCTTTTGCCATCAGCAATCACCCATCAGCGGCCTCAGCTTAACTGGGTTCGTTGCCGATTTGGGCTCCCCAGATCAATCCCGCTGACGGGTGATTGCTGATGGCAAAAGATCGATAGAACTAGCTGAGCGACAGGCGAAACGAAGGACCCGCGTGGTGTGGTGGTGAACGCGCTACTCCCCGGAAAGGACAATATCGCGTTCGTTCCCCACCGCATACACCTGCGGTCCGGAGTTTTGCAAATATCTCAGCATCGTTGAAGTTATATTTCACAATAATAACAATCGTAAAAATGTCATAATGCCGTGCCATGGAAAAAAGGTGGAAACAGAAGAGGTTTTATGTTATGACGTTCCTAGCATCCTCTCCGATAAGCTATAGAGAAGTACGTACGTTATGGGTTCTTCTTTGAGCGCCGGTTCTTTGAAACGATTCAGCAACGAGCTGACGGTACCAAAACGCCGAGCCTTCTGTTTTGCTGCTTCCTAAACGGGATTATAAGAACCAGTTCATACGAGTGCTGTATATAACATATTTCTTCTTCTTTCGTGTCTCAAAAGTGCCTCGTGATCTAGAAAATCAGGAACGATGTTCCACCTAACTCAAGAAATTTTCGTCGATGTGTTCCCGAAAAGTAACCATTGGTTTCGTTGTTTAACGAAATGATGATTCATACAGAATGGCAAACATTGTGCCCTTTTTAGTATACATTCCTAAATTTCCTCTACGAAAAAGCAGCCAATCATGAGTGAACGAATGATGGCAGAAACTCTTCTAACGTGGGAGTGAGATGCAAAGAATGTCTGGTATCGAGCGTATGTTCAGGAATTTTTTCAGGCAGAGATTTCCAACGTGCTTTTGCATCCAGTCGGCAACTTATCCAACAGGAACCATTATGCATTAAATCAAAACAGTTATTCTCGATAGTTAACAATTTACGAGAAAGTTGTTTTTCGGACGATTGTGTTCGCCAAGTTATAAAGATTGTTGCTGTTGAGAGAAGTTCTAAGTTGCTTTCGCGAACGCAAGGGCTCGCAAGACTTTTGCGAAAATTAGATGCTTCTAATACTTAAAGAGTAGCAGAGAAACTGTTCCTAACAAAGAAGGAATATATTCGTACAGGGGACAAACCAGGCAATATGCGTTGACTCTAATTCACACCGCGTGTGGTGAAGCGGTGGAAAACTAGGAATGGGTAAGATATAGCAAGTAAATAACATTTTGTGGCGAACTTCAAGTGTCAGTGGAATGCGTAGGGCCCCGAAAGCCATCTGTTTGCAAAAGTTTTCAATTTAAAAAATTTTAAAAGCAAGCCAAACCTCATTGACAGCCGCTTTATGTTTCGCCTCTTCCAATGACATATTGAGCGCAGATTTCCGAACCCCACTTTTATCCTCGACGTTCTGAAGCAAAAACTTAATTGGCCGTCGCACCTGTTTAAGCCATAAAGAGATGTCTGCTGCGTAAAAAAAGTAAGGCATTATGAAATACGTCCTCTGTAAGTGATTAAACACAAAGACTATTGTCATGAGTATACTAAAAAAATATAAATTTCTAAATATCATTGAGTATTTGCTGATCGCACCTTTGGCTGCAATCCTTCCTCGTTGACTTTCATTATGGGCGTTTCCACCTGAAACAATTACCAATAGGAATGTCCTTCATTGGCTTAGAATCTCAAGGTGAAAAGAATTGTCTGAAAGAATTTCGCACATATAGCCTAAATCCGTCTTCATTATTCTTAGTCATAAGCCCTTTTGCGATAGTTGCGCTCATTTCTGGTTCTGGAGTTTCTTTGGTCCGCGTCTCAGGAACTGGTGCTTGTTGCCTGAATAATGAATTTTCGTGAACATTCCCTTGCGAGTCTGGATGTCGCACCATTATTTCTGCACTAATCTGCCTTACCTGGGTGCGAAACATAGAAAAATTCAAGTAAGTAGGCTTTTTCACTATTGGGTCCACTTGCTACCTTCATACCTCAAATTTACGGCATTTAATTTAATATGGTCATAAATTACCATAGCTTTAATGGCATGCATCGCATTACCAAAATGCTGACATCGTTACTCGCAAATCCATCGACGAGGATACGGAAATCAGTTCTTTTTGTTCGTAAACCTTGTGATGAAGAAGTGTTCGCTTTCATTGTCGAAGACAGTACTCAGAGTTTTTACTGAATGATTACAAAATTCGAGATAATATCCTTTTCTTTGGCAAATAGCAAATAGCTGTATTGATCCGCACTTGCTAAACACTAGAACACCTCAGCATACAAGTGCGCTAACTCCAGATTGCTGGTGTGTCGCGTGGAAACATTGGCTACACCCACATGGGGTTTCTATCGCTTTGTGAGTACAATAAACTTTTAGTACCGAAATCGATCCTTCCATTAAGTCAGTTTTAAGCGCTGGCAACGTATTGTATTAGCCATCTATGTCGTCTTGAGCATTTTCAACTTGTGTAGCAAATTCGCGAAACGACTTTCTTTTAACCTTAGCACTAATCAATAAATCACTTGACAAGCAAACGCGAGGTTACTAGCCATAAGATTTATTCAATACTGGATGAGGTTTTCGCGGTTTCGCTTGGTAGCCTGAAAAGGTTAAAATAACATGCAGTATTCTGATCCAAATATCTTCATAACCTTAGCAGAATAAAAAGTATAAGGCTGCAGGTGTATTGATCAATCCTTGAGGGATTTACCATGCATTCGACTTCGTCAAGCATTGTTAGAGGTGATCCAATGCATATTTGGCCTACACAGTGATGACTTGCGTTGGCCTACTGCTGCATTGAGTTAGTGCTGCTATCCTCCCAAACAAGACGCACCAATTTGCCGATCCCGAAGAAATGGAAAGCTTAGTGGGCCTGGGGTATGAGGTCAAACCATATGTATTGCAGGTGACCTATTTCCACTGCGCTACACACGCCAAAAGCAGATGATAAAACCTAACAACGAAAAATCTTAATCCGTATAATAGACAGCTTCTCCTAAACACACCCTGCTTTAATAGCTCTAACAATGTAATCACTTCTTTATTTACTGCCTATTCTTTTCATGGCAGAGTATGCTGTGAAATATAACTATAATAATGTTGAGATATTTGCAAAACTCCGATCCGCATGTGTCTGCGGTGCGGATCGAACACGCTATTACCCTTTGTGGGGGATAACGCGTTCACCACCACCCCGTGCAGGTCCTTCGTTTCGCCTTTCTTTCTTCAGCTTAACTAGGTTAAGTACCTAGTACTTGTGCTGCATAGATCAATCTCGTTGACGGGTGACTGCTGATAGCACCTATAGAACGCGGCTAAGAGGAAAGGAGAAAAAGGACCCACATGGTGCAGTAGTGAACGGTTAGCCACCGGAAGAGATAATGGCATGTTCGACCTCCATCATCGCAGACATCTGCACTTCGAAGTTTTGCAAATATCTCAGCATCATTGTACTTATACTCCGTGCTTTGTTCTTCGTAAATCTTTGAGTTATTTCGTGGAGATCAGCCGCAGAGAGTCTAACATGGGCTAGGGATATGCCTGGCTCAAGTCAAAAAATCGGCCTGAGGTATGGCACTAGATCACGCATGGGGGTTTTATGGACTCATCCAAAACGCTTCAAAATTTGTGTTTTACCTTTGTGACATTTACGATGGAACATGCATGAGTGTTTCACACTAAAGCCGATAAACTGCTGAAATAATTAAAGAAAAAGGAAAGGGTGAGTGTTTAAAAAAAGCTCTTTATCAAGCGAATGAAAATTTGTGTACTAAGTTCTATCTGTTGAGGTTATGAATATATTTGGCTGAGTAAATTTCCCACCGGTTTGACCTTATGAGGCTCTGAAGGAAGCGAAACGTGGAAACGTCAGCCAGTATCGTGCTGAATAAATGGTGTAATAACAACCTCGTGTTTGCTCATCAAGAAAAACAGGGCCTAACAAGTTTTCCCCATTTCTTCCTTCGCATCCGATATCATTCCACCATTCAAATCAGGAAAATTTCTACAAAAGGAAGTAGAGTGCCACACATTTACTGCTCTTTTCATCAAATATTCATCTGACCAATAAAAAAAAACTGTAAATGGACGTACTCGGGGGCAGTTTTCGTTTCGACCTGTTGCACGGCTGCCGTATGCAGTTTTGGTGGCTGGATGACAGCTTTGCGGGCGAAGTCAGTGGCCGCCTTCTGATTTGAGAAACGGCTCGCAGACTCCTTAAATGTCCTGCACATTTTATTTCATCTCTTCGCAATCTCGAAGTGCTTCAATGAACCTTTTTCGTTTCATATTATCGAAAACAATTTATTTAAAAATATCACGATTTCTAGAACAAGAATGGCTGAAAAATAATGAACGAAAGATTTATAGCCAACAGCCCCTTCTGTGAAGAATCTCAATCCGGTGCGTCGTGAGCTATAAAACGTTACTTGGAATGGCGGATAAGGGTTAAACGGAAACAAAAGCGGTCATATAATACTCTCCTGGAGAAATAGGTGAGATTAGAAGAAGAGTATCAAACTTTGCTGTGAATATTGGCTTATATGACCTTCCTAAGCACATTTGCTCATTCAGCGTCATGGTTTGTGAAGATTCTACCTTACACGTTGGTCCTATCAGAATTCCAACGTGAAGTACAGTACATATATAAAAGGCAGTTTAGGAATGCTTCCAAGTGCTAGAGACCGGCAAGCTCTATGAGATAGCTTCGCTTGCAACGAGTTCCTTTTTGGTGCAGCAAAAATAAAAGTCCTCAAATCTCTGACATTGACAGAGTTGGAAATGGAGGAGCGTTGGAAACAAGAAGAGTACAGTGAAGTTGTGAAAGTTTTGAGTGACCACAAGGAAAAATTGTACTTCCAATTGAAACACACCAGAATCGAAACTTCCATTTTAGATCTCAAAATGATATCTAGGAAGGCAAGCACAACATAGTCCCGTTAATCAAGGATAAGAAAAACTGCCAACTTGGGGAAGTGTATGATACCAGTGATGAGCTCTTGTTTAGAAGACATTATGCTGTAGCTTCTGAATTCGTCAACACGAACTTGGCTATCGACATAGACTCAATTTAATAAGAAAGGACACGAACTGGACCTTTATGGCTTAAAAATTGGTACTAATCCAGATTTAGCAGTGATCACCTAGTGTACCAGAGTGTACTATCTAAAGGTTCAGAATGCCGTAAAAACTTCACATTAGCATCTAAGAACTGAAAATTAAAGAATAAGGTTACTAAATGTTTGGTTTGATCATGAAGATGTAGACTATCATAGGAGAGTGACTAAGGCAGCAGCCAAAGTATTTCATTAAAAATGCGAGTCTTTAGGTGAAGAACACCATGAGAAAGTTGGTTCTTTACATGTCTTGCCAGAGCGATTTCGTTGGTATACAAAATTCAACATAAAATCAGATCACACTGAGCCCGCAAAAGATTCATTGCTTCGTGGAAACGGGAGAAAGTCGTAAAATTAAGGAGCGGAATCCTACAAATAATATAAACTAAGACGATTACACAGATAAAACAGTGATTTCGACTGCAGCTGCAGCTCCACTGAGTCCCATGCCGACTTGTGCTCCCCAAATCATTCTCCTTGACGAGCTACTGGTGACAGCATCGTTAGAGTAAAAAACGGGCTGAGAGAAAGACAAAGAAACGTCTCGATGATGCAGCCGGTAGCATATGATCTCCTGTAAAGGTGATCACAGGTTTGAAGCTGGTCTGGAGTTCCGAATGCTGCAAATATCGTAGCATCCATATAGTACAATGCCGTGAAAAAATAATAGGCGGTAAATTAAGAGCTAATCTCAGATTGAGACTGTTTTACCCCTTTGACTAGTTTTTGAGAAAATGCCGTTATCAACAATATTGATGTACGAGAATAGAACTGACGTCCACAGTGATAAGAATTCTCTTGTCGGCAAGCAACTAGCAACCAGTTTCGAAGCTTGCAATGTTTTCGAAACGATAGAACTTAAGAAGAAAAAGATGGAACTCAGGTGAGAAAATGCTAGCTGAAATAATAGATAAGGCTGGAAGAGCGGAAAGTTCGTGAAGACCGCCTGCTGACCAGCAAATCCAGCAAATGCAAGAGCATGACAACTACGCCTGCTGAAGATATATTTTGCTTGAATTAACGATTAAGGGTGGCAAGATCTGTTTCCACGTGAGCTTAGAACTCATTAATATGATGCTCAATTTCTTCACAAAGACCCTAAATCAAAACGTGTATGATTATTTTCACGTCCACCGAGCGATCAGAACCAAGTGGGCCGATGTGGCAGACGGTAAAGAATAAGTGAATGGTAGTGGAATCAACCGTAGTCGTTTGACGAGCACTGGGCGGACAAATACTGTTGAATTTCCGACATTAACTGAATGGAGTGTGGAAGAAGTACCAGAGTTACTAGCCATATTTTTGATATAATCATAAAAAAGTGAGCATCAAAAAACGTTTTTGAACGAAGTGCGATTAGAATTATCTTAGATTGGGCAATCGGCGCTATGAAAGGAATCACTACCACTGCGCTACCAGCTCCTTATTTGTCGAACAAATAAGAATAAACAAATGACTGTGAACAATTATACTTATTTTTAAAAATTTGCCCACCTCTTTTATTGTTTCCGCTTGCGGACGCACGTAAGTCGGCACTACTGTCACATCGTGTCGATTCTGAAATCAGTTTATTATGGTGTCAAGCAAATAATGCACGAACCAAGTAGTCGAATATAGGCCTTCATAGAAATTCGAGCAAATCGGAGGTTGATGTTCTTGAAATAATCATCTAAAGAATTCTAAGACAATTTGCTTTTGTTCCGGTTGGGATCGATTCCAGCTAAGAAGAAGAAATTGGAAGAGAAATCAATTTAATGACAACTACCAAAACTACCAAAAATACACGCGTCATAGAATTGCGTAAAAGTGAGGATAGTGAAAATGAGGACAGATTATTTAATTATTAAATGAGTACAATCATCTGGTTCTCAACTTAACTAAATTCCACTCATTGGATCAACCTTTTCTGACGCTGAACAGCGTGGAGGGAGGAGAGATTTAAAAGATTTGTTACTGGCCTTGTCGTCTTCGTGACGTTGTGGATGGAGCTGGTGAACTTCTTCATCGGGAAGAGCAGTGCTTTCGTCAACAACTTCGGTTTCCTCAACTGGGACGACACATTGCGGTGTGCGTGACATCTCCACCTGTGATAGAAGGAAGTTCCAAACGGTTAGCGCTTTCAGCAGAATATACATAGGATTTCTGTTTCGAAAGAATTCCTGCAGAAAATCGAAAAGCATTCAACATATAAACGCTTCGAGAAAACTGAAGAAACAGGCCTTCTCACTGGTACCGTCTTTGATGATTCTCTTTTTGACAGCTTTTGCACTTTTGTGTTGGTCGATGCTCAGCGTTTCTGCTTCACCATCTTCAATCAGAAGTTGAAGGTCTTTGGTGTACGTGACCTAGAGATCAAACATCGGTTTAAGCAATTGTTAAAATCACCTTCCCTCAGGGAATTTCTTGATCACTGTGAGCGACTCATAAATTACCTCACGATGTGTTTCCGGATACTCCAACGGTCTTTTCACGAGTTGTGGTACGGCGAGCTCAATGGTCATGTCCACCTGAATGAAATCAGATTACATATTTCACTTCGGCAAAAAGCTTTTATTAATTTATAACATTGCTGCGCACATATAGACGATAAAAAGGATACACCTCAATCGCGATTGATGCCTGAGTGATGCGCCATGCATACAACTTCATCAAGCACCGCAGTACTAGTCTAATGAATATTTGGCATATACAAAAACTCACGATAGCCAACCGATGCATCATCTTCGTTTTTTATTCTACCAAACAAGTCTACTACAATTTCACCGAATTCGAAGAAACTAAGGACCAGTTTTTCCTGGGGTTTTGGACCGAACCAACGACCATTTGTGCTTTGTAAGGCACCTCTAACCATTACGCTACACGCGCCACATGCGTACATGTACAATTGAATATTTCACGCAATTTAGATACCAGTGACATGAAAGCTAATCATTTTGTACTTTCACACTAAGCATGTCGATCTCTTTCCACTTTACAGCTTTTAAACATAGGACCACGTGTGTATTATAGGGCACCTCTAAACACTGCGCTAAATGCATCCTATCATAGACATATATACATATACACATGCACACATATATGTATATATACACATATGTATGTACATACGTATACATGTACATGTTTATTAACCGTTGCCAAAGGTAGAGAGCAATATGGTTGCTAACAAACGCGTCAGCTTTCTATGTCCAAATGAGGTAATTTGTCGTACAGAAATAAAGCTGAGTGGTTGCGTTATTCTTGCCTGATGTGGTAATGCTGGCGCTTTCTACTCTGAAAAGTGACACAATCCAGAGCACTTGAAATGATGTCGGATGTTTCGTTCAAACTTGGGGAATTAAACGACGGATGTAGAGCAATGGTGAGAGGCTTGCAATACACTTGGGTTCGATCTGCGTCCATGGCTCACCAAGCCTTCCGTTTTTCCGGATTGGTAAATTGGTACCAGCCAGACCTCTCTGGTAGGGTGGCAGCACTGACTTCCTGCATCAGTGGGCCAGCACAAGTCACTCTATAGTCCAGATAAGGATTCAGGTATCTCTAGCGATGCTTGAGAAAGTCAAATTCATGGTACATCTCTCAGGCATTGATCAACGCAGAAAGCTTTATCCTTTATTCTTTAAGAAGTACATACTTAAAAGTTTTCAAATCAATTACCACTTTTAAGTAAATTAAAGCAAAACGTGAGCAGATCTGACGATTTTTGAGTTTAACAGAACAATTATGAGGAAAATATTTGTGAACGCTTGTCATTCATCTGAGTGAGGAAGTTATTTGAAGAGTAAATGATTTCGACACATACTTCGAACTCGTCGTTCATTTCTTCAAAATTGATATCGTCCTCGACTTCAGCGGGTTGTGAAAAGGCAAGCGGACATCTAGACTGAAATTCAGCACTGCTTTGAACGGTAGAAATTTCCTGTTGATATTGATTTTCCTGATACTGATTTAATTTTTTCCATATATACGTACCATATATATATACATATACATATATATACAGAAGCGGATAGCACAGTGACAGTGATGTCCGTCACCACGAATATGGTGCAAGTTCGATTACGCTCCGTGTCAACCAAACCTCTCATCCCTCCGGAGCTGGGAAATTGTTACCGGATTTGTCTGTGAAAAAGTCGCTCTCTGCAAGCCAGTTGGAAACGCTTCAGCCCAGTCATCTCAGGACTATAGGGAGAATTGCTCGACCAGCATTCTGCGACATTCAAGATAAAAGAAAATCCTCAAGCAGCAACCGAAGACAGACGTAAAGTTGGAAGATATTCGTGGACAATGTATGGATGAGGAAACAAATCGAATGTGAGAAGTGTTGGGATCCGCACAGTAAAGGTGAAGACGGGTCAGATAAAATAAAAGATATGCGTACATATATATATATGTATATATATATATATATATATATATATATATATGTCTAAAGCTTAATGGAGAACGGCCTTACATTTCAGCTTTCACATAACTTTTTTCTCAAATGATCAAGTGTATTTACAAAAAAAAAAACATGAAGGTGAAGGCTTAGAGGGTGACTTATTGAAAAATTTCGCTCTCCTCTTCCCTAATAATGAATTAAATACTAGCAAATACACAAGAAACATTTACGGAGGTGTTTATATGCTTACATCTGTGCTTTTTTCATCAGGACTCTCTTCAGTACTGTGCATTTCGTCCACCATATCAGATACCTCTTTTTCTTCGTCCTCGTATTCCTCATCGTTATCACAGGCCTCGTCTTCGTGATATTCTCCGTTCTCGTCCCAACATTCTTCGTCGCTGTACTGAAACCAAACGTATCGGTATCGACATAAATGAGAATAAAGCATCGAACCAGGTTTCATTATTTATTAAACATGAAAACTTTGGAGAAGTTTTTTGTAATCCACAACAGATAGGAGGTATAAAAATAACACGAATTTCGTAAAGAGACAAGCTAACTAAGCGACGAGTAGTACCACCGGAAGGTGTGCTAGTAACGGTGTGATACAATCAACTACGAAACATTTTTGATCCTCGATAGTGATATTGATAAATATCACGACATCGACAAATGAGTGATATCGACAAATGATATTTAAATAGTGGTAGATGTGAGCAAGATGGATTATCTTTACCGAAGAGCAGTTGATGAAAGAATAGCCCATTCGAGTTAAAAATGGTGGAAACACAGACCTCTTCCTCGTCGTAGTATTCTGAATCCTCCTCGTAGTTGTCGGCTCGCATCGCTGCTTTATCGACTAGCCGTAGTGTACAACCAACATCAACCTCTTCGTGAAAATGAGTACCATCAAAGTCCTAAACTATTAATTAATTAGCCCGAAAAAATAGTAGGCAAAAAGACCACTAAAGGATCTCATTAGTAAATCGTGGTGGTAGCATGAAAAGTTTTACACCTTTATAAAATTTAAACATTTTGTTTTCGGATGGCATATTTCAGTACATTCCACGAAAGCAGGTTTTCGTCACTTCCTCTGACATGGAAACGCTCTACCACATCTCATCTTACAGCTCCGAAGAAAAGTGGCATGAAAAATTAAGCATTGTTAAGTGAATTCACACAATGTTTAACGTTTTGTTTTCTGCCTTCTATAATTTT